CCTCAAGGTAGACCCTGGTTTGCTCACAGTATCCACAACAGGGAGAGAAGAGGGGCAGGAAAGGAAGTGCCATGCATGGACAAGAGATCTATTTGAAACACTTATTCCATTGTTACTAAAAGTTTGGTCCTTGTCCCCAGTACCAATTCAATAATAAAGACAAGGTTTTGAGAAAAAGGAAAAAGAAATCATTTTGCTTTGCCAGCAAGGGAGAAACACAGGAGATTCCTGTCTATGATTCTATACATCAGTGGGGACAGAGGGTTTTTAAAGAGGTGATTCAAAGGCTACATTCCAGGGGTGTACCTGATGGGGTTTCAAAATTCACTTGATAATTTGGAAGAGGGAAAAGAGGAAAAAACACATCCATTTTAGAATAAGCCTCAGTGGCCAAGCAGCAAGGGCTATATTCAAAGCATGAAGAGGTCTACTGTTACACCATCTATTATTAAACCTGACCCAGTGAGGGTCATGCCATCTGACCTATAATTATTTCCTTTTAAAAATAAGTAGAGGATAGGAAAGGTAGCAGAATACAACAGTTACTAGTATGGCATTATGCAAAAATGTGGATGTGTAACTGATATGATTCTGCAATCTGTATTTGGGGTAAAAATGGGAGTTCATAACTCACTTGAAGCCTATGTATGAAATATGATATGTCAAGAGCTTTGTAATGTTTTGAACAACCAATAAAAAATAAAAATAATTATACATGATAGTGGAATTTATTGTTCCATATTTGTATATGCATACAATATAATAATATAATTTAGTTTATTTCATTCCCTACTGCTTCCTTTTTCCTTCCCTGGCTCCTTCTCTCTAGTTCCCTTCCACTATTCTACTGGTCTCCTTTCTATTAGTATTTCCTTTTCTTAGGAATGAATGAGGTAAGAGAAGGATAGAAAGACAAGTATCTTCCTGGTACAGGCAGAGGGACTGAGTGCTACCTTCTTCATTAAAACGAGAAATTATTCAGGCAAAATGGTTGTGGAAGAAATAGCAATTTTCCAGGCAGTGGGAAAATAATAATGTGGGAAAGAAATATGTTTGTTTGCAAGGAACAGCAGTTGAACTTAAACTAGCCTGAGCAACAAAGGGATTTTAACATGAGGATAGAAGAGTGTCTTATAGAACCCCAAAACAACAAGGCAAGTGAGGTTTTAGGAGTAAGCTGAAGCTAGGAACTCAACTGTTATCTGGAGTATCTCTCTCATTGCTGAATCTTACTGTGTGTCTGCTTCATCTTGCAAAACAGACTAGTTTTTTCCCTTTCTAATTCCCACACCATATGACAGGAAAATGGTTGCTACCAACAGTTCTCAATTTTATACTACTCAGCAGAAGAAAGCAACCATACTGGGATAAGATTTCTTAGTCTAGATTTCAGATTCCTGAGGAAGGACTATGATAGGCCCAGGTTATTTGGTCCACTGTGACCCAGAGATTACGTAACATGAAAACTCCTACATTTAAAATAGATGGAGTTGATGGGAAGAGAATCCCCCAAAGGGAATATTCATTAAAGAAGAATTGGAAATAATATATTTCTAAGCATGAAGTGGGATATGGAGAATGTTAGATATAAGGTTGAAGAAGAGATGCTTTATGAAGAGTAATATGGACCTTAAAGCATATTCAGTAGAAAAAAAGGAAAGAAGTCCACTTGGGAAGTTTTTGAAATAACCTGACAAAATAATGATGAAGACCTAAACTTAAGGCAAAAATTGTGGTAGTGCAAGTATAAAGGAAAAATGGATATAAAAAAATTTAGGAGATGGAATCAGGAGGGCTTAATTAGATGCGTGACACAAAAGAGAGTGTCTGAAATGACAGTAATATATAGGACTGATGTGGGGGCCTGCATGCAGAATTGCATTGTCCCTTAAGATTATAATTCATTTTGCTTCTTTTGGTCTCAACAAGACATAATTTCAAGAAATCAACAGGCACAGAATAGACAGAGTGTTTCACATATCCTTTATTCACTATTGAATAGAGTACCAAACAAGATGAAATGAACTTTGTAACTAAAGTGGGCATCTTCAGTTGTCTATATTGCTCTGATTTCTAGAGATGCCATTTTCACATGAATTGAAATAACTACAGGGAACTTTTGTCTATAACAGATATATATATATATATATATATATATATATATATATATACACACACACACACACACACATATACATATACATCTGGAAGAACTACAGCAGACTATTCTAAGAGATACATGAAGTACTTTTTTATCCCCCTCTGCTTCCTTTTTCTTTACTCTCTATATGTGGAAATCTGGGTGAAATGTAGTTACAAATATCTTTTGCCTTATTTCAGACATAAAAGTAATATTTCTCCATAATCTATGGGTATATATTGATATCTATTCATTTATATCTATTTATTTGTCTATCCATTTATTTGGATGCTATGATCTACTAGAATTCTTGAACTAAGAGTCTTTAAGTATAGGATTACAGAATTATTCATTGAATTTTTCAATGAAGATTGACTGAGGGCCTATTATGTGCCACATATTATTGTGAATATTGAACAAAGCCAACAGGAATGCCTGTCCTCATGAAGCTCCTATTCTGATTATATAATTTACTCCTCTTTGGTGCATATTTGCACTTTATTTTTCAGGAAAATGTATAGAAGTCTTGGCATAACACGTAAAATGCTCATAAGACAGCTATTTCTGAGAGAATATGAAATAATTATGTGATGGTACCAGTGTTTCCCTTTTGGGAGTTATTTTGGGAACTGAACAAAGAAAAACACATTGGCATGGAAAGATAATGAGCTCAGGTAGGGATACATTGAATTTGAATTGCTTGGAGGCATCCAAAGCAATGTCTAGTAGGCACCTGAATATACTCAAATCTATTCTGACCTAGATCTCAGGAGGGAAGTCTGAGCCAGCAATATAGATTTGAAAGGTATTCAAGTATAGGTAATAGATTTCAGATAGTAGAACAAGAGAAACAGGCCAAGCACAGAACTGTGGAGGAACACCAACATTTAAGGAGTGGGTAGAAGAAAAGGCTATGAAACCTATAGAAATTAGAAAAGTAAAAAGGAAGGAAACCAACAAGAAGAATGTGTGTCCCAGAACCAAGTTAGTATACAATTTCAAGCAGACCAAAGTGATCAATATTATCATGTGCAGCAGTGAGATCCAATAAGAAAAGTGTTGAAAGTTCCCAGTACATAAAGAAATTTGTCAGTATTTGGTGCTTTTAACAAAAGAGGTTTTAGAGGTGGAAGTGAAATCCTTACTACCATGTTTGAGAGGTGAATGAGAAGTGAAGGAATACAGGCAATGTATGTAGATAAATAACTCTGAGAAGGAAAGTTGATAGGATAACTGAAGACACATCTAAGAAACTAAAGAAGGGTCCAAAATAAAGGAAGAGTATTCCTTTTAACAATGGAAGAGCATTGATTAAGTTTTATAGGCTGAGGAGAGTGACTCACTAGAGAGAAGTGTAGGATACTGGAATCATAAAGTAAAAGCAACGGGGCAAGATCTGAGGGGCTGAATGAAACAAGGATCAGGGGCTCAAATTGACAATTTAGTATTACACATGCTATGTGAAACTGCAGGGATAAAGGTTTAACATGGGAGCAGATCCAGATTATAGGTGAGAAAATTTCCTGTTAGCTTTAATTTTTAAAGGAAAGTACAAAATAAAGTCACTCATTTGGTGGAGGGCTTGAGAAATAGGTGATGAAGTCATCAGTAAATGTGGAAATGGTTAAGGATGGGAATAATAGTAGGACAGAACTGGAGAGAGATTGCTCAGGAAAAAGTGAAAGAATTGCCAAGCAGTACTGAGTCAAGAAACTAAATCTGTGGTGACACAAATTTCCATTAAAAGGTATTGTCTTTTGCTTCACAATCTCTATGACCAAACGCTGAGTCAGGCTCCTCTGAGTCTTCTTAATTAAGACTTGAACTTGGGGTCTGCCTTTGACCCACTTAGTCCAGTTTTAGCAAGAATCTTGAGTCAGTATGGTAAAAATGACCCTTCCTTGTTATCTGATCACCCTTGATATCTGATCAGACTCCTTATATTCCATTCTCATTATGGTCTTGCTTTAGCAAAAATCCTGTTGAGTAGGTTTAGCAAGAAGCCCTCTAGCAGGGACTAGGGCTGTGGCTCAGTGGTAGGACACTTGCCTAATAAGTGTGAGGTATTGGGTTTGATCTTCAGCACTCCATTAAAAAAGTATTTAAAAAACAAGCCCTATAGGCTGGAGGGTTCATATAGATTACTTACCCAGGCGAATCTTGAGATTTTCTACTTTCTTCTGTATTATAGGCAATGATGAACTACTAAAAAATAGCTCTAATTTTTACTGAATGCTTACTCTGTGCCAGAAGAAGTTATGTGTTAAGTGCTTTACAGGCATTCTTTCATTGAACTTTCATAACTATTCTGTAAGTACTATGATTATCCCCATTTTTCTAGCTGAGGAAACAGATTCAGAGAGGTTCAGCATCCTAACTCAACAAACAAAACAAAAACAGAGCTATTCAGTGGTGGAACAGAAGTTTAAATTTGGTTCTAACTCCAAAGTCCATTCTCTGAACCAGAGAAGTGAGAATAGATGACGTATAAAATCATTCTGATAGAAATATGATAAAGGACTGAAGGGAGACAAGTCTAAAGGCAGGGAGACCCTAAAGGATACTGTTGTGGTAGTCAAGATTTTTTAGGCCTCATTAAGGGGGCTGTCCCTTAATCATGGGAGTTTTGCAGACAAGTGACATGATCAGATAAGTTATTTAGAAACTCCCTTTGGCAGGCCTTGTGAAAGATGGATTGGAGGAGGCAAGACTAAAGGCAGCGAAATAAGCAGGGAGGTTGTTGAACTCTTACTCTTAACTGCCCAGGTGCCTGTCCTGGGGCTGGGAGATGGTGGTATTCCAATTCCCCAGTCCTTTCGAATTGCAGAGCAACCTGGACCTCTCCCTGTCCCACCTTTACCTTGACATCACTCCATTTAGGTTCCCAGAAGTGGGGTTTTGCGCACTTTTCTAGATGGCAGACTGGCTGGTCCGAGCTCTTGACAGTGGCGCCAGCGGTGGCGGCGGTCGCCGGCGGGGGTGGGGCGCATGCGCGCGGTTGCTAGGCAACGGCGGTCGGGGCGCCGCGGCGG